TTTTTTACACTTCGTATTTGGGAAACCTACTTTGCGAGGTGATAAGAGCCACCCCGGTAAGTAGGCACCCGGCGTCGAAGGCTCCATCTATTGGTGGGGAGCTGCAGCTGCTGGAAATCGGGTCCAGCGTCCCTATACAATGATGTGATGGGTGTGTGTGAGCTGGAAATCGGGTCCAGCATCCCAATACAATGTTGTGATGTGTGTGAGCTGGAAATCAGGTCCAGCGTCCTGTATATTATGTAGATCCATCCATATCTGCCAACATCCAATCTATCTATATTCTTACATCGGTAAAACATATCCCCTGAAGGAAAACCCTATCCACTAACCTAACATATCACATAGCAATTGAGGCATCAAGCCCAAATGTATCAATCAAGACAGCAATCGATCCCTAACACAGTAAAGAAGCGAAAACCCCTGAATTGATGTGTATGTGAGCCGGAAACCAATTCCAGCATCACTATGCTATGAGGTATACAGCCAATCTGCATATGTTGTCGATTCCAAAGAGAGCAGAGGCATTGATTACTTCCCCACGCAGGGGAAGGATTTGACCTTCTGCTCATGAATCATATGACCCTATTCAATTTTCAAATGATATGAATAGATGTCATATCTCACATATCTCACCAGCAAAAATAAACGTGATCACCAACAGTCGTTTCATGCTTAAGAGATTGAGAGATGAGCAGCGATCAACTCTATTCAACCCTATTCAGCCCAGGGAGATCATCTATCCTATCCCCACCCGATGCCAGAGAATGAGACACAAATCCGCCTGAAAAAACACCAGGTAGGGGTGAGGGAAAACATGAAATCTTACCATCAAACACAAGCCCCACTTCACCAGCCCCAACACACTGCTAATTTCCCCCACTGCGTGGCTGGCGGCATCTCCCCCATGCTGCTGATACAGGGCTTGGATGCACATCAACCCCTCTCTACCTGCTGCTCCAGTGGTTGCTGCCGCCGCCATCTTCATGATTGTTGTTGATCTTGTTGCTGTTATTGTTGTTGTCGTTGTTGTTGCTTGTGCCGTCGTTGCTGTTGTTGTTGTTCTCTCCCATCTCCTCATTGTTGTTGCTGTTGTTGTTATTGTTGTTGTTGTTGTTGTTGTTGTTGTTGTTGTTGTTGTTGTTGTTGTTGTTGTTGTTGTTGTTGTTGTTGTTGTTGTTGTTGTGCAGGTCCCCATCGTTGAGCGCCCAGGGAAGTACCGCCTCCACCTCTCTCCTTCTTCCTCTTCCTCTTGTTGTTGTTGTTGTTGTTGTTGTTGTGGTTGTTGTTGTTATCGTTGTTGTTGTG